GGCTCCTCAGTTGTTCCTCGACATACGTTGTGACTGAAACAGCATTTTGTATTCTGAACACTGACCTGAAGCTGCATGTTGACTCCTCCTTATTCTTTATTAAATCTTATAATACTATATTGTGTTATAATATATGACACGTATAGAATATGTGTATAATATTTAGTATATGGCGGACGGCTATTTTGGGGAGCGTTAATATAATTTTATTATTGGCAACACTGTAGGTCATATAGACACACCTGTATAAGAAAGACGTTGGTAACACTTAACAATAGGTCAAGCATTATCTTCACTATACCTGGGAGTGTTCTGGTCTCCCTCCCTCCCCCTCCTCTCCTTTCTCCTCCTCTCCCTCCTTTCCTCTCCTGCTCTGACACAATTTAAATTAACCAACGCTGAATTACGTCTGATTTTAAGAGGAACTTACTACTGAACGTGTCAAGAACAATATCCATCAATACAGAACTGGACTCAAACAATGTACAGTAATAGTTTATATTTACCAGACAAACTTTCCTTCAGACAAATTAGTTAATACACCTTTAACTTGATGGTCTTCTTGTATATATTTTCATCTTTTATGTAAACGTTGAAAAGTTGGCCTGAATGTTTTATAAATTGTTGATTAGAAATAATACAATATACAACTCTGATAAAACTTAACAAAAGCCTCTGATGATTATTTTGAGTTTTATCTGGCATCGTAGTTAGTTGTCAGGATAAGATCTCTCATGGGGCAACCTTACGTGTAGCTACAGTACTCCGCATACTTGGAGGGTGAGAGGGGTTGTGAAGTGAGAAATACAATATTAGTCAAAAAGCAAAAACGATCGATTTCCAAAGTGCTTGCTCGCTACTGTGACCATATTTTAGGTTCTTGGTCCGGACAGCCAACCAATCAATGCCATAAACAGAGTAACTGCTAAATCCCCCTCCCTTTCTTCAGCTTCTCGTGGTACTTGGAGGAGATAGGATTGGGAAGAGGAGGAAGGGGGAAGGGGAGAAGGAAGGAGGGAGGTGGAGGAGCAAGTGGTGGGACTAGGGGAGGAGGAAGAGGATGGGGTGTATAAATTTAAACAGGATAATGCAGCGTCACGAAAATACCCAAGAAGACCGGACAACTCGCCAACTGCACTGGTTGACCATTTCGGAACACGATCAGCGAATCAATTAACAACCAGGTTCCTAATTACTGCTGGGTAAACATAGACAAAAGGCGTAATAAAGAAACTTGCCCATAGCATTACCCTACTCGGGGATCGAACCATTGACCACTAGCTTGCGAAGCGACCGTGCTGACCATTACAACAAAACAGAATCACAATAAATTCCATAAACCCTCTGTGAGTAATTATGAGTAGTGAGCATTGAGGGGCTAGATTATGATAATATTCTCATAACTCACACATCAACTCACAAAGCCATAAAAGAAAAAGAGAACTAGAAAGAAAAAGTAGGACATCGTGAGTTAAATTCTGAGTTAAGTTAACGGGTCTTATGCTAATTAACCTGAATGGGTTAATATACCTGAAGGAGGTGTTTAAATCACCCTCTTCTTAATTACGCTATCATTATTAAATTACCTACACTTGTGAGAGAAGAAACCTGGCGAGATGTTCTTTGTGTGTATGTATGTATGTATGTATGTATGTATGTATATATATATGTATGTATGTACGTATGTATGTATGTACGTATGTATGTATGTATGTATGTATGTATGTATATTATGTATGTATGTGTCTGTATGTATGTATGTATGTATGTATGTATGTATGTGTGTGTGTATGTGTGTGTGTGTTGTGTGATTATTTTTTATTAGTGTGTTATTATTATATGTAATGTATGTAATGTATGTATGTGTATGTGTGTGTGTGTGTGTGTGTGTGTGTGTGTGTGTGTGTGTGTGTGTGTGTGTGTGTGGTGTGTGTGTGTCGACCTTCATGAAACCCAGCACCACCAGACACCAAAAGTCAATAGCGAAACTTTACTCCACACATATTAAATGAATCCTTAAAACAGGTCATTATATTTCCCCTATAACTACCAGTGGTCTCATAAACAAATATATATTCTCTATGATTTAACCGAAAATATAATTATATATCTTCCATAATGTAACCTAAGAATGGACTATATAATTCACCTATAATTTCACTTAACAGGGAACCGTTTTAGTTAACAGGACAACAGGAAGGATGACAACAGTGTGTGGGAGAGAGGCGAGGGGGGAACTTGGCCTTGGTGTCACGAAGAAATCCACCTCATTTTTCGCTGTAATATAACTTGAAAAATATAACTATACCTCCTCTAAATTAAATTAAACCAACACGACACATTTTCTCAGTAATCTGAACAAACAGGAAGCCGGTTTTTTTTAACAGGACGCAACAGGAAGGATAACAGTGAGCAGAGTGGGGTGGAGGAGGAGGAGGAGGAGGAGGAGCGACCAGAACTCTTCCCCCGAGAGTACGACGATAAGCTGGTGCACCTAATTTTACCCCGTCACTTTAGTTTACAACATAACTTCTAAATTAAACTAACGAAGCACCTCACATTTCCTCTATAATCTATACTAACAGGAAGTCCGTTTTCCCGCCAACAGGACGCAACAAAAAGGACAAGAAAGAAGGGGGAGGAGGCACGTGGAACCCTCCCGAATTCGACGAGACGCTAGCTAAAAACATTACCGTGATGGAGGGGGAGACGGCCTCTGCTGCGTCGTTGCTAAACTTAAGGGACGCTCTGTGAGTACCGTAAGAGGACCGCTGTGGGATGTTGTAGGTGGTGTGTAGGTGTTGTAGGTGGTGTGTGAGTGTTGTAGGTGGTGTGTGTGGAGAGGTGTTGTAGGTGGTGTGTGAGTGTTGTAGGTGGTGTGTGAGTGTTGTGGGTGGTCTGTGTGTGTGTAGGTGGTGTGGAGTGTTGTGGTGGTGTGAGTGTTGTGGGTGGTGTGTGTTGTAGGTGGTGTGTGTGAGTGTTGGTGTGTGTTGTAGGTGGTGTGTGAGTGTTGTGAGGTGGTGTGTGAGTGTTGTAGGTGGTCTGTGGGTGTTGTAGGTGGTGTGTGAGTTGTAGGTGGTGTGTGGAGTGTTGTGGTGGTTTGTGAGTGTTGTAGGTGGTGTGTGAGGTGTTGTAGGTGGTCTGTGGGTGTTGTAGGTGGTCTGTGAGTGTTGTAGGTGTGTGATGTGGTGGTGTGTGAGTGTTGTAGGTGGTGTGTGAGTGTTGTAGGTGGTGTGTGTAGTGTTGTAGGTGGTGTGTGTGGTGTTGTAGGTGGTCTGTTGAGTGTTGTAGGTGGTGTGTGTGGGGTGGTGTGTGTGTGGTGTTGTGGGTGGTGTGTGGTGTTGTGGGTGGGGTGGTGTGGTTGTGAGTGTTGGGTGGTGTGTGAGTGTTGTGGGTGGTGTGTGGGTGTTGTGGTGGTCTGAGTGGTGTGTGGAGTGTTGTAGGTGGTGTCAGGTGTTGTAGGTGGTGTGTGAGTGTTGTAGGTGGTGTGTGAGTGTTGTAGGTGGTCTGTGAGTGTTGTGGGTGGTGTGTGGTGCGTTGGTGTGTGTGTTGTAGGTGGTGTGTGAGTGTTGGGTGGTGTGTGTGTGAGTGTTGTGGGTGGTGTGTGTGAGTGTTGTAGGTGGTGTGTGGGTGTTGTAGGTGGTGTGTGTGGGTGGTCTGTGAGTGTTGTAGGTGGTCTGTGAGTGTTGTGGGTGGTTGTGGGTGTTGTAGGTGGTGTGTGAGTCGTGGTGTGGTGTTGTAGGTGGTTGTGGGGTGTTGTGGGTGGTCTGTGAGTGTTGTGGGTGGTCTGTGAGTGTGGTGTGGAGTGTTGTGGTGGTGTGGAGTGTTTAGGTGGTGTGTGGTGTTGTAGGTGGTGTGCGAGTGTTGTAGGTGGTGTGTGGTGTTGTTGGGTGGTGTGTAGAGTGTTGTTGGTGGTGTGTAGTGTTGTAGGTGGTCTGTGAGTGTTGTGGGTGGTGTGTGAGTGTTGTAGGCGTGCAGTGTTGTAGGTGGTGTGTGAGTGTTGTGGGTGGTGTGCAAGTGTTTGTAGGTGGTGTGATGTGTTGTAGGTGGTCTGTGGTGTTGTGGTGGTGTGTGTGTAGGTGGTGTGCAGTGTTGTAGGTGGTGTGTGAGTGTTGTTGTGGGGTGGTGTGTAGTGTTGTAGGTGGTGTGTGAGTGTGTGGGTGGTGTGTGAGTGTGTGGTCTGTGGTGTAGGTGGTCTGTGGTGTTGTAGGTGGTGTGTGTGAGTGTTGTGGGTGGTGTGTGAGTGTTGTGGGTGGTGTGTGTGGTGTTGTAGGTGGTGTGTGTGTGTGTGGTGGTGTGTGGTTGTAGGTGGTCTAGTGTTGTAGGTGGTCTGTGAGTGTTGTAGGTGGTGTGTGAGTGTTGTAGGTGGTGTGTGAGTGTTGTAGGTGGTGTTTGAGTATTGTAGCTGGTTTGTGAATAATTTAGTGAGGCCTTTAGAAGTATACTGTGGATGCCTGTGAGTACTTTATGAAAAATTTCTGAGCTTTATTTCTCTGTGAGCATTTTAAGTAATCTGAGAGTAATTTGTGAGTATTTTACGGACTCTTATATATATTGCATGTGAGTCTGTGAGTGATTTGTGAGTATATTAATGACATTGTTATTGTAAGAACTCTTTCGGATAACTGCGTATAATGAACCTCAGAGGAGAGTCTTTGAGTTTTGTGAGTGTTTGTGAGTAGAGTAATGAGTACGAGTAAGAGACTACTGTGAGTGGTGTGAGAGACTTCTGTGAGTTAGTGAGTTGCGTCTGACTGTTTGGAAGACCCATTGAGAACGAGACGCCTGATGGGGTACTCACAACACCTTTTTGAGCAGTAAAAGGACTTTGTGAGTAATTTGAATCGTCTGCCTGTCTGTCTATCTATCTGTTACATATGTATACAAAACACGGCCTAATTCACAACTGAACCTGGACATATTATAATTATATTACCGTGTACTATAATTTTGAATAACTAATAAATACTCTCTCTCTCTCTCTCTCTCATCGACTATCCAGGTGTCGTGGATGAGACGAAGGATTTTACACGTCATTTCAGCCAATCAACCTATCTTCACCTCTGACGACAGATTCAAGGTAACACTATTCAGACTGTATGTACTCCCATGTGTACATACAGGGGGACGTATATGTATAGCTATATGTATTAATATGTGTATACAGAGGTGATATTTTACTGTTTGTTTTGATGATTTATTCTTTTGTAATATTTTTATCATGACAGTTGTAAAATGATCAGTTGTCGTGAGATAAACCAGTATTTTTTTCCCGCGTTAATTTATACGTTTGTGTCCCGTTGTGTTTTGAGTGTGCGTTTTTCTTTTGTTTTTATCTTCTTGAGTTATGATTTTTGTTTTTTTGCTTTTGGGGTTTATTTTGAGATTTTGTTTTTATTTTGGTTTTCTTATTATTTTTACTTATTTTGTTTATTATTTTATCTCTTTTTTGTATCTTTTATTAAGGTTTTTGTTTGCATGATTTATGTGGTTTTTCTTTTGTTTTGTTTTACTTACATATTTTTCTGTTTTGTTTTGTTCATGTTTGTCTTCTGTTTTTTGCTTATTATTATTTATTTATTTTTTTGGTGCTGTGAATTAATTTTGTCTTGGCTATCGTTTTATTTTTTTATTTACTGTTTTTCTTTACTAATTATCGTTTATTTTACTTTATTTTTGACGTTGTTTTACTTTTGTTTTGTTTTCTTACCGCTGTCTTCTTTAGATTTCTTTATTAGTTTTATTTTCTTATTGTTTTGTTTCACTTATTTGTCGTCTTGTTTTGCTTTTTCTTGTTTTTATTGTTATTTTTCTTTTTTCATATATTTGTTTTCATGTATTTGTTTTTATTTGCGTATTATAATTAACCTGTTTTATTGTCTTTTTTCTTTTTTGTTCACATTTCTTTTTATTTTTTTCATTTTCTTATCTTTCTAATCTTTCGTTTCCTTTGTGTCTTTCCTCGCCAATTAACTTTCATCTCGTCCAGTTTTTCGCCAGGTGAACTCTCTCTCTCTCTCTCTCTCTCTCTCTCTCTCTCTCTCTCTCTTTCTTTTAAACCTCAGCTACGTAATATCGAAACTTTGGGAACTAAACCGATGTAATAATACTATATTTTGTTCTCTCTCACCACACTGTAATATCATCTTTTTATTCTTTTTTTTTTTTGGCCTAACAGTCCATATTTTTTTATGAATATTCAAACATTAACTTTCTCCATCGTGGTGAAAGCTGCGAGAAAGTAAAATATGGTCTTGGGTGTATACAGACTAACCCGTGTTAACAAAATTATTCAAAATTATTCCTAGTTCATATTGTTTAGCTTTCTTCTTCTAATTTGTTGGTTAGGTTAAGTTAGGTTAGGATAGGTTAGGTTAGGTTAGGATAGGTTAAGTTAGGATAGGTTAGGTTAGGATAGGTTAAGTTAGGTTAGGTTAGGCTGGTTTCTTGTGTATGGTTTCTACCTTCTCTACAATAAGAAAATATAGTTGGTGTTAGTTTACCATTAAGTTTTATTCATTTATTGTTACTTAAAACTTCTCTCGTTAAAACTTCACGATGGGTGTTGTGATGCAGAGGACCTCCGTGTGTAGTCTATGTCTGACCCTGAACCAATCAGTAATGTCTTTATTTAATATCATGGTAACTTCCTAATGTGATTGTGTCTTGCCCATTAAATACTATGTTAATATCATCCTCTCTTACCCTTTCACTGAGACGCCTTCCCTAGTTCCTCTTCCTTTTATTAAGTATTTTTTATCATTTAACTCAGGTGTTTTATCATATATACAGGTATATCAATTACATTTGTTATGCATATTTTATTGGAATAAATGTTCTAGATGGGGATAGTGTAAGCTATTTTTCCTGGGGGAGTCATAACACGTACGTTCAGTTTTTGTTTTGAAATTTGCAACTAGAAATTTCTGCTTTGTAGTAAGTAACTAGGTTGTGTTTAATATATATATATATATATATATATATATATATATATATATATATATATATATATATATATATATATATATATATATATATATATATATATATATATATATATATATATATATATATTAATCAAATATTCAATCCCATTTAGTTCATTTATTTAGGCATTTTACGTTAATTCATCAACTCATTTTTTTTCATGTTGCTCTCATTCGCCTCAACTTCTGTTTCACAATTAATAGTTTGATCTTAATAATTTCAGTTTTTCTACTTTTTCTGCCACCACTTCCCTTTGTCTTTATCTGCATATGTTATAATTTTTATTGTGTATGGTCACACACTTATGGCTTCATTTGTGGTTCACTTGTTTTATTTTTTTATACATGTTCTTAGTTATGTCTCTCGTTGTCATCTTCGTAATCCATTCATTTATTGTCGATAAAATCTGTCTACATTCCTTTTTATTGCCTTGTGAAGGTCTTTATAATCCTCACTTCTCACCAACTTTCCCCACCCATCCATTTTTCTATAAAAAAGGGTCGTCGTCCTGACAATTTTAGTCTGGTTATTTTCTTATCCAAAAACATTTTTCCTCCTTTTTAGTATCATTTCCTGAAATTCATTCCATTGCTGTCCCAGTATGCTCTCCCCAGTAATACTGAATATTTCTTTTCTCTCTCTATATATATATATATATATATATACCTGATAGTTCATGGGAAAAGGAAACAAATTGTTTCTTTCTCCTTTCCTTTTTCATTGTGGATCTATATATATATATATATATATATATATATATATATATATATATATATATATATATATTTATATATATATATATGTGTGTAAAAAACCAGGACATGGTCTGACCCGCAGTTTGCCTCGGGGTAGATCTTAGTTTGGGTTATCGAAGTCTTGAATTTCTATTGAATCAAAATGTAATATATTTCTTTCCCGGTTTATTTTTGTCAGTATTCTCGGATGATGTCTAGGAATAAGCATGCCATGAGTGATCCTGAAGCTGAATTTGCAGAAAAATTATATAGTTCTTTAAATATCTTCTTTAGAACTTCCTAAGTTCCTCTAAAACCTTATATTCAATATTAATAGTTGGTACATAAACCTGTCTTGTTGCCAAGTTCATGAGTTTAACTTTAAATTTATAAAACAGAACTGTCTAACACTGCCTAGTCTCTCTCTACACAACTACACCTAACTTCTGCTTTCCATGAACACTGTCTCCACCACCTGAGTGTAAAAGGTGATGTTCTTCTCCACAAGTGTTATTTAAAACCTCCATTAATCCTAAATCGCCCCTCTATGGTTCTTCACCTTCCTGTAAACATCTGTACTTCCTACTGTCATAAAATATCCTCAGATTCTTACCTCCTATCCTCAGTTATTGGTCACTCATTCTTAAACTTTCTGGATAATTATTTAGTGTTTAAAGTTTTGTTGCATCACACACTATATACCAGCCCTTCAGTAAGACCTTTTAGTGACGGTGATCCAACAGGTACACTCAGAGATCGTTTCTAGTATCATGTCATTGTTTTGAGGAAAGACTTCAATTTCAGTGAAGTATGGAAAAGCAACCCAACACCTTTCCTCGCCAGAAAAGTTTGTGGATATAGAAAAAGTTTATAATAATCTATGAGGGTAAGGAAGTCGTCCATGCCTCAAATATGATGAATTTTGCCTCGATCTGCAACAAAAGTTTATCATGTGGACCTTGAAACATGTTGATCAAATCTCTCAAGTTTGGTACAAGTCTGCGTACCAGTTCTCGAGTTATATTAGGGACACAGAGAGACAGACAGACAGACAGACAAAGAGACAGACAGAGAGATAGACAGGCTAGTTCCGGAGTTGCAGACAGGGTAATCATAGCAGCAGCAGAAAAGTGAAAAAGGAAAACTAGGAAGGAGGAGAAGAAAAAATTATTATAAAAAAGCTTCCTGACGGGTATTGAAAGGAAGGAAAATAATAGATAAAAGGTTACAAGAATCTGTTAATTAATCGGCTTTATAAATTAACGGTATAATGAGTTTCATAACTTTCTTTTTTTATATATATTATGAAAATAATTGGAAAGTAAATTGGCATATAAATTCCAATATAAATTAATGAGTAAACTGGTATGTACACCTGCATAACCTGCTAAAAAAAATTAAAGTAATTCATGTTTTTTTTTATTGGTAAATAATTAATAATTTTCGTAATTCATCCTGTAATTAAAAAAACAAATGTTGGAAAAATAGTTATGAAAAGAATTTTTTTTAGAAATAGCAGATTGGCCAGTGTCGTAATCCGTGATTGGCTTCTCACGTAAGTCTTGAGATGTGAAGGTGGCCGTTGATTGGATAGTCTTGTGCTGATATCTCTGACGTCACTTTATAGTTACTAATGACATTGTTTTCTGTTACTCTCTCTCTCTCTCCTTACACTCCCATCTTTCGTTAAACATATCGTCCACTATGTCATAAAACCAAGTCTTCTTTCGTCAAACCAATTTATCAGGTAAACTCATTAACCCGAGTATCATTGAACCAAACACCTAACCACCCTTCGTTAAACCCTACATTAGTCTTTCCATCAAACATACTAAAGCTTTCGTTAAACCTTACATATAACTCCTTTCAATAAACCAAACATACAATTAACACCTTTAGCTTAACATATAACTAATCTTTACCTACAATTATCCACTTCGTTAAACCAGACAACTTACCTCTCGTTAATCGTCTCTTCCCCTCTCGTTAAACTCCTCTACAGGTACGGATGGATAACGAGACCTCTTCGTTTACCCTGGAGATCGGGGCGGCCCTCACCAACGACTCCGGTGTTTACGAGTGCCAAGTGAACACACGACCAAAACTCTCCAGACCCGTCACACTAACTGTCCAGGGTGAGTACAGGGTGTCTAGGGTGAGTACAGGGTGTCTAGGGTGAGTATAGAGTGAGTACAGGGTGTGTAGGGTAAGTATAGGGTGAGTACAGGGTGTCTAGGGTGAGTACAGGGTGTCTAGGGTGAGTATAGGGTGAGTACAGGGTGTGTAGGGTAAGTATAGGGTGTCTAGGGGTAGAGCACAGAGTAGTGGCAAGAGGTGCTCAGGAGTATAGGGGTGTCGTGAGGGGAGTATAGGGGTGTCTAGTGAGTACAGGCACCATGGTGAGAGAAGGGAGCAAGAAAAGCCTGGTGTGGCACAGGTGTCTAGGTGTGTACAGGTGTCAGGTGAGAACAGGGTGTCTAGGTGAGTACAGGTGCCCAGGTGAGGCTAGGGTGCCCAGGTGAGAGAGGCGTGGTGGTGCCTAGGGTGAGTACAGGGTGCCCAGGGTGAGCATGGTGTGCCTAGGTGCATGTTGCGTGTGTCTAGGCAGGGTGCAGTGGCCAGGTGCTCCAGTGAGTGAGCAGGGTGGTACAGGTGCTCAGGGTGAGTAAGCAGGGTGTTCAGGGTGAGTACAGGTGTAGGTGAGTATAGGGTAAGTACAGGGTGTCTAGGGTGAGTACAGGGGGTGTTTAGGTTGGTAACAGGGTGTCTAGGATGAGTACAGGGTGTTTTGGGTGAGTACAGGGTGTTTAGGGTGAGTACAGGGTGTCTAGAGTGAGTATAGGGTGAGTACAGGGTGTGTAGGGTGAGTATAGGGTGAGTACAGGGTGTTTAGGGCGAGTACAGGGGGTCTAGGGTGAGTATAGGGGGTCTAGGGTGAGTACAGGGTGTCTAGGGTGAGTACAGGGGTTCAAGGGTGAGTACAGGGGTCTATTTAGGGTGAGTACAGGTTGTCTAGCTTAAATGTAGAGTAATAAGTCAAGAGGGAAGGATCTAGGGTGAAAGTAGGGTGTTTAGAGTGAGTCACAGGTGAGAATAGGGTGTTAGGGTGGTTCTATGGTGCCAGGGTGAGTCTATGGTGTCAGGGTGAGTCTATGGTGTCAGGGTGAGTCTATGGTATCAGGGTGAGTCTATGGTGTCAGTGAGTATGGTGTCAAGGTGGGTCTATTGTGTCAAGGTAAGTTTATGGTGTCAGGGTTAGTCTATGGTGTCAGGGTGAGTCTATGGAAAGAAATTATGGTGTCAGGGCAGCCCCAGTGGTGTCAGGTGAGTCTACAAAACAGGGGTGAGCCCGCAAACAGTGGTCGTGTGTCAGGGGTGGGGTTCATGGTGTCAGGGTGGGTCTGGCGGTGTCAGTGAGCTTAGTGGTGTCAGGGTGAGTCTATGGTGTCAGGGTGAGTCTATGGTGTCAGGGTGAGTCTATGGTGTCAGGGTGAGTCTATGGTATCAGGGAGAGTCTATGGTGTCAGGGTGGGTCTATGGTGTCTAGTCACTCACCCCTTGTACAGCGAGTGTAGAATTCATTGTCTCTCTTTCTCGATGATAATGTTTATATTTGCATCATCAGCTGATAATGTTTATATTTACATCATCAGCTGATAATGTTTATATTGACATCATCAGCTGATAATGTTTATATTGACATCATCAGCTGATAATGTTTATATTGACATCATCAGGTGGGGCGAGGAGGCGAGCATCATCAGATTGAATCTTCCTCCTCACTGTGTCTCGTAAAAATACAAGTCTTCTTGATTCTCTTTGACCTTAAGGCTCAGTTGGAGACAGTTTAGCATCATAAATTCATAGAGTCAACTCGGAAAACCTCCGCAGATGGAGCAATTTTTTTCAATTTTCTTTTTTAAGAGCCTGGGTCATTTAATCTCGCGGGAAAGTGAGTAACTGTGCGGCACAAGTCAACACAGTTTATTAACTTTAATGTAGCATTTACGATACGTCTCCCCTCCCAATCCTTCCCTCCTCCTACCCACAGTAAAGATGGAGAGAGTTAATAAAGATTTTTAGACGGTAAAGTTAGCTGAGGAGGAATGCTATAAGACCTCCACGATTAAATTTTCTTTAGTTATAATCTTTATCATTTATTTGGATGGATTAATCTCTCTCGGGTCGACATTTTGAAGAAGTGTAAAAAATATCCGCGTGTAAATTAAGTTTGTGAGGAAAAGTAAGATGATATATATTTTTTGTTTATTCTCAAGTACTGTCTAATGAGGATGGAGTGTGTGTGTGTGTGTGTTATATTCATCATCATTATTTTCATTATTTTCATTACCATTTTTGTCATTACTTTTATCATTTTTATTATCATTATTTTTCCTCGCCATTATCATTAACATTGTTATCTTAAGTTATCATGAGTATAATTACCATCATTAGTATCTATTTCATCGTTATTAACGTCATTTACCTTGTTATCATTATCATTATCATCACCACCACCACCACCACCACCACCATCACCACCACCACCATCACCACCTCACCACCATCACCACCACCACCTCATCACCACCACCATCACCATCACCACCATCACCATCACCACACCACACCACCACCCACGCCCACTACACCACCATCACCACCCACCACCACCCACACCACCATCACCACCACCACCACACCACCATCACTCATCACACCACCACCACACCGCCATCACCATCACCACCACTACCACACCACACTACCACCACCACCACCATCACCACCACCACCACCACCACCACCACCACCACTCATCACCACTACCATCATCACCATCACCACTACCATCATCACCACCCAACCCAAGTAACCACCACCACCACACCACCACCACCATCACCACCACCACCATCATCACCACCATCACCACCACCACTACTACTCATCACCATCATCACCACCTGCCACCACCACACACCACCACCACCACACCACCACACCATCACCATCATCACCATCACCATCACCACCACCCCACCACCACCACCACCTAACACCACCACCACCACCACCACCACCACCACCACCACCATCACCACCACCATCATCACCATCACCTCTCCTTAACTATTACCGACAACCAACACACATTATCACTAAATACAAATCAAAGCACCAATGGAAAATTAATTAAGATACAAATATTTCATTGGATTAATTATTCAAATACAAAAATGTAATAATTTATATATAATTTTACAGGCCTTAGTATTGTGACCTTTAATAAAAACAAATATATATACAGTAATTACCAGTTCGTGTGTGTGTGTGTGTTTGTGTGTGTGTGTGTGTGTGTATGATAGGTCAGCTATTATGACGTCACACAGATGACCTGGTTGCTCTCTTGACTTCTGAGAGTTAGAGAAAACAAGTTTGATAGAGAGAGAATGAAAGAGAGAGAGAAAAAGGGAGAGAAGAAAAAGAAAGAGAGAATGACATAGGGAAAAGGAAACGATGCATAAAGAAAAAAAAGAGAATGAGACATAGATGGAGATAAAAGGAAAGGAGAACACGGGTAGAGAAAGAAAGAGAGGGAGCCAGAGAAAGAGATAAATAGAGATAGAAAAAATTGGAGAATAAACTGAGAGGGGAGAGTCCTACAAAGAGTGATAGAAGAAGAGAGATAGGACAAACGAATACCGAAAGAGGTAAAGAGAGAGAGAGAGAGAGAGAGAGAGAGAGAGAGAGAGAGAGAGAGAGGGGGGGGAGAATGTGAAAGATATTGAAAATTAGAGGAATTACAAACAGGAATAGAGGCAGACAGATAGAGAGAGAGAGAGAGAGGGGGGGGGATGGGATTAGAAACAGAGAGGAGATAGAAAGATTAAACAAAAAATGAGAGAGAAAAGAGAAAAACTCACAATTTCAATGTTTTTTTTTTGGGGTGGGTCGGGGGATTTTAAGTAAATATTGTGTATTTTATGGATCTGAAGGTATTTTTAGGGAATGTTTAGTTGTTTTGGGAGATTTTTAGGTATTTAACAATATCTTGAGGGATCTTTAGGGATTGTAAGGATTACCTATGGATTTAAGGGTTTTTTAAAGGCTTCTCAGTTCATCCCAGGCCTGACACACTCACCACTCCTGGAGATCTTAAGAGCCCTCACTCCTTCCCTCTGGGGTCGTTCAGGTTTAACTTTCTTAACTTTCTTGTTTTGTTTCATTGCTGTTCTTTCTTTAGTCTGTTTATTTAGTCTCGTTTTCTTTTCTTTCTTTTTTTCCATTTTCTTGCTTTCTTTTTTGGTTTTTACTTTCTTTTTTTTCTTGCCTCATTTTGTTGCTCTTCTTTCTTTAGTAGAGTGATCTTTTCCTCTTACTTTCTTTTTCGCAGTTTTCTTGATTTTTTGTAAGTGTTACTGTTGCTTTAATTTTTAGTTTTCTTTGCTTTTTTTATTCTTGCTTTATCGTGATTTAATTCTTACTTCATTTTTTTTTGCTTTCTATTGCTTTGTTATTTTGTATTTTTCTTGTTTTCTTTTTTGTGTTATTCTTGCTTTCTTTTGTTTTTATTTTTGGTGTTTTTAATCCTTATATTACATCTATATCACCTTTAACATTGAATATTCTAACAATTACATAATATATACCTAAAATAAACAAAAAAGTAAAAAAAATGATAAATTAAGAAAGACAAGAAAAAACAAAACACATAAAATCTTAACATAACCCGTAGTAAACTGTAATTAGTATCGGCATTTTGCATTACATGTTATTCCGTAAACGACTGAATGGCCCTGACCCGTCTCTCTAGCTCCAAGCAACTGCCCGAACCACCGATAACACACAAACCAATTTATTAAAGGAAATACCATTACTAGTTACAGTTTACTACGGATTATGTTTTGATTTTTTCTTGTTTTCGTGTTTTATTACATTTTTTTCTTCTTGTTTTTCCTTTCTTAATTCCTTTTTTTTACCCTGTTTATGTTTTGTTTTTTAGTCTTTTTCACGATGTTTTTTTCTTTATTATTTTTTTTACTTTTACGACACACACACACACACACCCACACACACACACACACACACACACACACACACACACACACAGAATCAATGGGCTGTGAAGGCTGCAACTTATTGGATGACAGATAGCTGAGTAGACCAATCAGAATGAGTGAATCATATATGAAATGTAATGGCTTTTAGACATATGTTATTTATGTCTGTTATTTTAATTATTTACCTAAACACGGGGACTAAATTACCCGAAGTGAAGAATTATTACATTTTTATCAACATTTGGGTTCTGAAAGTCATTATGTATTGTCACGCTAAAGAGAAATAATTGGATATTTATTGTTGTATATTAGAAAACTTTAACTGGTATGTATTAAAGACGATCATGTAAAATTTTTGTAGATAAACATAATGCAAACTGTAAATTAATAAACACATTCCTAACCTAACCTAATAAAACTTTCCTTAACTTAACCTAACCTAACCTAACCTAATAAAACTTTCCTTAACTTAAACTAACCTCACCTAACCTAGCCTAACCTAACCTAACCTAACCTAAACTAACCTAACCTAGCCTAACCTAACCTAACCTAACCTAACCTAACCTAACCTAGCCTAACCTAGCCTAACCTAACCTAGCCTAACCTAACCTAACCTAACCTAACCTAACCTAACCTAGCCTAACCTAGCCTAGCCTAACCTAACCTAACCTAACCTAACCTAGCCTAACAAGATTAAGAAATATCTTGGTTATGTTGTGAAGATATAAATAATTCTTCAGTGTAACAAAACACATATTACAATATTTAACTAATTTTAATTAATTAATATAAAAAAAAGTTGTGTATATTTAACAAAAACATTAATTGTATCTTCATATTGGTTACTTAGATATTTTGTTTCCTCTAGCATGACTGACATAGACTCATATTGATAATCCTGTAAATATAAGTCCAGAAAATAATGCAGTGGTTAATCCTCAACACAAAAATATTTACAAAGGCTAGAGTGAGGACCAGTAAGATATTTCTTTAATATAGATCAAAAGACCAAACTCACATACATGTTATTCTATTTTTTATTTATTTTTTATTGTATTTTATTTTAGTTTTTATTTAGTTTTTCTTATATTCAACAAAGGTCGGCCATGACTGAGAGTTGTTCCGGCTCAGTGCTGGAGTTGGGCCGCCCTCGCCATTACTGGGTGACGTCACTACCGTAACCTCTCTCTCTCTCTCTCTCTCTCTCTCTCTCTCTCTCAGTCCACCGTATATACGTGTGTATAAAAGGTCTGCTATTTTAAGCTCGAAATTACTCATTTTAAAGTTAACATTTGCATTTATTGTATGTTATATAGTTAATTGTAAGCTTAATGACTAACATGATGTGAAATCCATGTTAAGCTTATGTAAAGTTTGTTGTTACACTCAGCTTAACGTGAGTGTGTTATGTGGCGGTGGATATTGAGTGACTAAACAGGATTATGAGGAAGGTTTCATCTGACCTGACTTATTATAATCTCGATATCAATATTTTAATCCTTTAGTTTAAGTACATGTTATCAAGGTGGTGTATGGTCAAAGGGAAAGACAAAAGTACCTAAAATAATAGAAACTCTTAAAGTTTAGTAAAAAGTATAATCATTGACTGTGTTCACTCAATGACTGTATCTCATGTATTAACTCTACACGCACACACACACACACACACACACACACACACCGTACTCTTAATTTATTTCTAAAAGACAATGGCATCCACAACTTAAACACATATTATTTGCCTTTTCTTTCCACCATATATTCCACACTAACACTACACACACACTAAGATACTAAACAATGTTATCTATGTCTCTAGCATAAAGAAATGTTATCTATGTCTCTAGCATAAAGAAATACAAAAAAAAACATTATTTATTCCAGAAAATACAGTTGAAGATTCTGGTTTCTAATTTACATGAATATTAAGTTGATTCTGGGATACTTTTTATGTACTTGAAACTTTGAGGAATACAAAATATAAAATTATATAACAGAGCAATAAAGAGCTGAGATTGGTTTAAGACTAGTAAATTATAAATACTTTCTGCCGTGTGGGTGTGATTGTGTTTACATCCGGGATTAAATTCGGTTTGTTGTAGAGAGTAAAGGTTATATTCTAGCCACATCTGTCTATAGGGTCAATAGACTACATACTAATAGCCTAAGGTAAGAGTCACACAATAATAACTAGTCTCAGCCTATTGTTAACCTGCTGTCGGCGTCACTAAACATTTTAAACAAATTAGCATATATTACAGGTCCTTAGAACGCCATCATGCCATCACCCGACTGCCACTCTACTCTATTGTCATGACAGAGATACGGTTGTGAAGTCAGCAGTAAGAGGCGGGGTTTTAATGTATACGAGTAACAAGACATATTTAGGATTGTCTGCACCAAGTGAACAGATAATATCACTCCGAAAAACAGTTAATTCGAACTTAACCTACTAATTTAGATAGAAATTTATAATATATATTTCAGCATCCGCCGTCAGAAATATATATGACTTTTAATTCAAGTCTCTAGATCAGTATTACAAAAATGAAGAGAGAGAGTTTGATTTATAAATTAATGTTCTTCTTTGTTTACATTTGATCTGTGGACAGCTGCGGGGGCGGTCATCCTGGGTCCTGCAGAGCTCTACATTAAGACAGGGTCAACACTTGTCTTGACCTGCACGGCCACCCTTCACCCACTAGCCCACGCCAAG